ACCTTTTTTCTATTCTTTGTAAAAAATTTTCCTGAACAGAATCGTCACCCTGGTAATCATTCGGTGTGAATTAAAAATAATTAAATAAAACACTACAAGCATTTAAAAGTAAGTAATTTTAATAATGTAAATCATAATTCAAAAATCAGTTCAATTTTCATTGTAGTGCTTTGTGATAAACGATGTTTTTTGTTTGATTACCTGGCGCATAGACAAACAAATCTGATGGTTTTCCAATGCGGGAACAAACAACATACAATTTTCCATGTGAGAAACATGGGTTTTCTAAATTAATACCACAAACACTACCACAAACGCACTGGAAACGCATTGGGATGCATGGTGCGAGAACATCTTCTGCTTTATACTGTCCTTTGAATGTAGTTGGTAGATATTTCTCAACATTATAATTGCCGATCCAACTTTTAATTGAAGATTGTGAGGTGACAATCCTAGCAAATCCAGCGAGTTTAAAAACTCCGGTGGATTGTCTTGGTTAGTTGCCGAATCAACTGATTCGCTTGTAATTTGTTCTTGAATTTTGAAATTTAATTAATTTACATCAATGTTTTTGGCTGCCAATATAGCTTGATTAATAGAAAGATATTTCTAAGTTTATATAAATATATTCAAAATTAGATTATCAAAAACTACACAAAATGTCATGACATAGATCATTGTTTTTTTTACAAATTGCGTTGCCTACTCGATTACAGAAGAAAAGGGCTGTTTTTAGGGTTTTCCCGCCAATTATTCGTTTTTTTCTCGCCGTAACAACCATCCTTGGACTTCAACAAACATTTTAAAAAAAGAATTGGCCAAATTGGTCCAGGCCTTGTTGAATTATGCGCTTACCAACACATTTGCGATCCATTTTTATATATAAGATTATATATATTGGTTATATATTATATACGGGGTATATAATTCTAGATATGGCTCACAACTTTAGCCGAAGCTTTTTCACATCGCATTCGATGCGACCTTTCGGTTAATATTTGCATTTTTCAATAGATCTTAAAATGTTGAAATGCAGTATAAATGAAGAGATTTTATTAACTTCTCATAGGGTAAGTTATAGTAATGAGCCGAAAATCGTTCCTGAACATTTTGTGTATCCATACTTATCGTTCACGTCGTCTAGCGCACGGATCAACCAATTTGAATTGTTCTCAAAATATTCGATTTTTATCGGTAAGGAGATGTGCTGATTAGATTTTGGCAAAGGCAGGTCTAGCCGGTACGGAAATACAGAGCAAAGAGTGCAGAAAATAGAACTCGAGTTTTTGTGGGAACAGAGTATCCGATTTGAATGATTCGAAAAACATTCAATTCGTAATGACAAGAAGAAGTGCTGATTAGTTTTTGGCAAAGGCAGGTTCAATCAATTTAAAGATACAAAGCTAAATGTGCAAAAAATGGCTGTTTGTGAGAGAACTAAGCATCCGATTTAAATGATTCGAAAAACATTCTGCTTATGTTCTAGGAGTTTATATAATTCTTAAAAATATTAGTCAATGTTATAGTATTTATAATAACTATTTGAAAACATTTAATATTCCTTAAACATTTCGTTACGTTACGGGAAGTTTCAGCAATTTGCCTTAAGTACTGGTTTAATTTTTTAATGTAGTTTTGAACTACAAATATGTTTTTGATAATTGATTGAATATTTGAACTAGATAAAACATAGTTCAAATTTTTCAAAAACTTGTTTCTACCTAAAATATAGGTTTCTACACTTAAACAAAAGAAGTAAAAAACCCAAATTTTAAAATATTTTCAATTAGCCATAAAGTATTTAATATTAACATAGAAATAATATTTAGTATCGTTCATACTATTCCATTCCTATTAAGCCATTGACTGATATTCTTGTAACAGCAAGGGTATCTTGTATTTCTTGTGATTGCAGTACCCCTACTTTGAAAATATTAAATTTAATTGTGACTCTTCGAAAATATTGAGAATTACAGTGGAACCTCCTTATTCGCGGCTCCTCCATTCGCGTTTTCGCTATTCGCGGCCAAAAAAATTGCGACCGGATTTCTTTTTTCGTTATTCGCGGATTCCAGTGTATATGAAATCCAATATCCTCTTAAATGCCGTCTTTTTGACCTATATAATTGCGTTGCGTTCGCCGTCCTCTCCGTTATCAGCATTTTTGATCAAGTAAGCAAACAGGAAATGAATGAATCATATATGTATGCTTTAATATTGTTTCTGTGGTAAATGCCGCTATGCATGCTTTATTTCTTCATTTTTTCAATTCGTAGCAAATATTGGTGATTGAGTAACACGTTGTTATATATTTGCCTTCAGCGATGGAGGTAATTTGATATTTTGAAACACACCATAAGTTTTATAAATTTATTAGAGAATAGAAATTATACAGAACTTCATTAAAGCTTATTATGAGGTTGTGTGTGTTTCTTGACGTACAGATAGAGACTGTGCCTTTTGTTTTCTCGTAAAGGTCCTCTGATAATAATAATAATAATAATAAATAAATATATTTCATTGAATATATATGTGTACATGATATTTCTCATTTCGGATTTTTACCCGTAGGTATATCATCCTTCATATTTGTTCTATCAATACAATAATAAGTATTTCAGATATACAAGTTGTGACATGATTCTGTGACAAAAAAGAGGAAAGAAAATTTATTCCCCAAAAAAAAATCACTTAGCACTATTTATAATAACACATAATAACTCAAAAAGGAGAAAAACAAAATAGAAGATTTATTCACTTTAAGGGAGAATATTTGCGTCGAGCCAAGTTTCATTTACCGCTATGGGTCGATCAGTATATATTTTGGCATGGCGTGATTGCCATACCAAATATCGTCTCTGGTGTATTGGCCGAGGCCCGCGATGTTAATGTTAGGATGATCCCCACATTTTAGATAAAAATTCTCAGTGAGCTTTTTTATAAAGTCTAGTATGGTCCTCTGTCCAGCCGGAAATATAGGGTCCATAGAAGGTAGATTGGAACTCAAGAGATGTAGAGTCCACAGATAGAGTAATGAGTATGCACATAGAGACATAAATGCGACGGTAAAAAGGTAAGAGTGTCGGCGCATAACAACGTGCTAACAGACCTAATTGCTTGAATCACGTGATAATGATTTGTCTGAAACCGACTTGGAAGAAATGTTAAATTTACAACCCAATGAAGAAGAGGCTTCAACTTGCACTGAAAACATGACATTTAATTTAAAGAGTCTCAGTGAAGGTTTAAAGATGGCGAATGATGTGTGTGATTTTTTTATGAACACTAATCCATCTATGAAGAGAAGTATTCTCTTTAAGAGGCAAATTGCAGATTTGACTGCCGTTTATCAGTCTGAATTGGAGAAACTCTTGAAAACTACCCAACAGGAAAAAATTACAAAGTTTTTCAAATCTTTGCCTATTTCTGAACAAAAATGATCAAGATGTTTAATGTATAATATAATTAATCGAATATATAAAGTAATTAATTTAATGCAATTTTAAATATAAATAAAAATATAGTTTTTATGTATGTACTTTTCATTATTTTGACACCTTGGAACGTATACCCTATAATCCCATATGAAATGCTATCCTGTATTTGCGGATTTTTCATTAATTGCGGATTATTTGTCATCTTGGAACGTATTCCTGTAATCCCATACAAAATGCCATCCCGTATTTGCGATTCTTTATTCGCGGCATTTTTACGGAACGCATCCTCCGCGAGCCGCGAATAAGGAGGTTCTACTGTACTTCTGTTTTTTCAGTATTTGCTTTTGCTATAGGGAACGGGCAAACTCTTCTCTAGCGGATTTTAAGTGAAACTTGACGATCAACAAATCTGGGTGATGACACATTTATGAGTTTTGCTATCAACTAATATTTGTTTTGATGTAAAGCGTTCTGAAAGCGTGCATTTTTAGGTTAGACATTTGCTGTAATTCATATTTCTTACATATTCTTATTATTTATCTCTTATGATTTTACAATAACAGAGGTAAGAATAATGAAATTCAAAATATAAATTTTGTTTGCTACTATCAATATGCATTATATTTACAGTCAGGAAGAATATTCAATCAGAAAAATATGAAGAAGGTTCAAAATTTGAAGAATTTTTAGTAAATTGAATCAATATTTGCTTGAATGATCATATTTACATGCATAAAGTATTAAATAAAATAAATATAAAATAAATTAATCTGAAAGAAAAAACATTGAGAGCAAATAATTTAAATTATAAAATTTTAACAGGTATGTGGTATCAAATTCACACAAATAATCACCAATCTATGAAGGAGACCCTCTTCTATCAACATTAAATGAAATTCTTTATCCCTGTATATACTGATACAATAGCTTCCAAAAATTTTTAAAAGTGATATCTTTTTATTCAATAAAACAAAACAATCTGCATGTAATGAAACAATTAAATCAAATCAAATTGCAGTATAGAAATCTTGTAAGTCCTGACATCATATCAAATACGGGATTCATTCATGCCAGGGAATGCCAGGGAATATCCCTCTTGTCCGCACAATCTCCTAATAGCGCGATATCATATGAATATCCGAATTGTATGCAACAGGACCACTAAATGTAACTAAATATTTATATTAATAAGTTAAAAAAGTGTAGAAGTTGTTCCAGTAGATTAGGTGTGATGTACATTGAAACCGACAATGTGCTTGTTGATTTGATGGTATATTTATAATAATATATTATTATTTTGTATATTTTTGTTATTATGGTATTATTACAAAACATAATACGATTGTAATGCCAATTTTAGTTTAAAATTTTTATTTTAAATTTTGCGCCGTTAATTTGAAGGCCGACAGCAGCGCCCACACGTCTGAGTGTACGACCCTGTAACTACACCTCCTGAAAATGAAATTCTAATATTGTCTAGTCTAGGGTTATGTTCTATGTTGGTGTAGCATTGACAAATAAACAAGTGTATATATGCCTGTAAATTTGTTTTTTCTTAAATTTTCTTAAATAATTTACGACGTTACTGAAAGTATATATTTTACTTTTAAAATCAGAGTAGATAAAAGTTATCTGTAATATTTTTAATATTAAAAAATATATATAGTCGAATATCTAAATCGAACAGTGTTTCTTTATATTTAACCTCGAAACATTTTGCAACATGTTAGAAATAACATGCAATGATCGTCTAGGCAAAAAGGTGAATAAAAAAATAATTGAAATGACGTTTCAGGAATATTGTAAATAAAATCACACTTAGTTTCACTAAGTTCAATACACATAGTTAAAAATAGATAGGTACTAAAATATAATCATGTTAACTCTACCGTATTTATTATAAACACAATGTTCTATTAATCACTTTATTTACCCAAATTACACTGCGTTCACTATTAAATGTATTATATTTTATATACTTTTGTTTTATATACTATCTCCCGCCTACTATATTCACGCTGTCGAGAATGAAGTTTTCGAATGTCTTGGGATGTGTGATTGTCCATTTTAGTGGTTGTATGTTAGTGTGACTGTCTCCTCTTCTTCGTCACTGTTATTAGATTTGTCATCATTGTCGTCTAAGTAACTGTCGTCTTCTTGCATCTCATACTTTTTTAGTGCATTGATTGGTAATATGCCACTGTAGAAACGTTGATTACGCTGCATACCTGGCAAATTCTCTATTCCATACCTATTGGATGGCAATTTTGCTGTGACCGTAAGGTCCTCTATACTTAGGGCGCAATTTCCTAGACTCGTCTGTGCTCGATGGTTCACAAAGCATCATGACCAAATCTCCTTCTTGGTGTGAATCGCCTGTGCATCTTCTCTTATTGTATTTATCTCTTTGTTTATATAGGCATTCAATGCATGCTCCTATATATCCCTTCACATAATTTTGCATTCTAGGAATTCAATACTTCTCCGATATCTTTTTGATAACTTTGTCCTGTCCAATGTGTGCCAAATCATGATACCTTCTTAAAATCTGTGACCTCACTCTTTTTGGTACTACATACACTAACCGATTCTCGATTTTCCTCATTAACCTTCCATCTTTGATCTCATATTCCTTTATAATTTTATCATCTTCTCTGTTGATTCCTGCATAATGTCTCTTCTGTATAGTTTCCATAATAAACTTCAGTTTTTCATCATTTCTCTGCGCTATGGTTAACCAGTCTTCTTCTATTAAATAATTATTGAATACTATAAGTTCATCCACACACTCTGTCCTTTCAGCTTCATTTATGGTGTTTTGGGATAGAGCGTCCACATGTCTCATCTTCTCTGCTGGTCGATGAATCACCTCATAGTCAAATTCTTGTAGTTTCTTCTCAGTTATGTCCTCATCTAATTTTATTGTATCCATTGTTAGTTCTCCTACATCTGATTTTTCCTGGGTTTGTTCACTTTTATGGCACTCGTCGCATTTTGTAGTTTTATAATTATTTTCAACCGTCGTTTCATTATTTGATATATTCAATATCGGTATGATGGTCTCACCCCTTCTCATTGACACTACTGCGGTTTTTGTTAAAGCACTTGCCTCTAATGGAATTTTTATTGCCTCAGCCCTAACAATTTTGTCCTTAAGCGCTAACTCTAATGCACCTACATCATCATTATCATCTACCTTCTCCATTTCTTCATAGCACACTTCTATTGGCTCTTTCTTTATTGGCACAATACAATCATCTATCTTGCTTTCCAACACCATTTTGTATACCTCATGATTGGGCACTACACCAGACTTCACTCTCTCATCACGAACCATCGATACAACCATTTTCATCATTTCATCTTCTCGGCGTCTGCTTTCCAAATACATTTTGTATAATTCTTGTAGCTCACTCATAACGTTTTTTTGTTATTGAAATGTCACAAATGTAATGTCTCACACTTTCTTATTCGTCTCTAAAATATCTTTAGGTATATCCCTGAGTAATCCTTGAGTAATCTCGCTTCTGAATTGTTAACTCTAATCGTCTCTATTATAAACCCAATGTTCTATTAATCATTTTATTTACCCAAATTACACTACGTTCACTATTATACGTATTATATACTCTTGTTTAATATACTACCCACCATTTACCATATTCACGCTGTCATTTATTCATAGTTAATAATCATAAAATCTATTTTCAGGTCAGAGTTAAATGCAATCCAGATGACACTGTGGAAGATGTCAAAAAACTTATTGCTGCTCAAACAGGCACAAGATACGATAAAATCGTTTTAAAAAAGTGGTATACGATTTTCAAAGACCACATAAAAATTGGTGATTGTATCCTTTTTAAAATATCATTCATTTAAACATGTGATGTTATTTGAATCATAGGTTCTTATATATTACCTCTGTAACTCATAGATTACCATTTGATTCTGATTGTTACTTTGACTTTTCTCATACAATTTGAGATTTGTATGCATATTGAAATGCATATTTTAATTTTTTATAATAGATAGATAGATAGATAAAAAGTATTTATTACAATAGCTGTACAGTAGAAACTTGTTTATCAGGCCCTCAGTTATACGGATTAGTGATTATCCGGACTACCAACTGCGACCATTTTATTTGTATGTACATACCTACTAGTAGAATTCACGAAATACTTATTTTATGATCACCAAAAGCAAATACTTGTCTTAAGCTAGCAAGACCAAATTAGCAAAATCGATCCGGATATGTTGTATTATTTAGTACTTATTCGTACCACAAAAAAAAAATTGTACTACGTGCAGTTTAAAAAAACATGTGGCGCTGCTAGCTTTAATATTAAGCTAGCAAGACCACATTTTGTATTAGAAAAAAAAAAAATTAATATGGAAATTGATTAATTCGAATTTGCACTAATTTGTACGACCAAAATTAAACTAAAAAAATCGAAAATGGCTGTTTTGAGTAGAAGGTATATAGTACAGAGAAAAAGCATGTATTGAAGTCAAAAAAAAGAACAAAATAATCTTCGACATATAGTTTAATATGTAATGATATGTAATGAAATAAAAATCACAGATTTTTATAAAAGTAGCTACCATCGTTTTATCCCAAATCATCCCCAAAATAATGTTAAGGCATTTAGTACAGGAAAAATTACATTGAACTAGAATAATCAAATTATGTCAACACATTATAAGCAATATAATATTTAGTTTTAAATTACTTAATTTTAGATTTTGTACCCCTGCCCTTACGTCTCCAGTCATCCCCAAATTGTACTTATGCCTATGTTGAGTCTTCCAGTTTTGAGTATAAAACTAGCTGTAAGTGGAATTCTGTCTTAAGGCAATTAGGGCATCGTGCCTTAAGGCAAATTGCTGGAACTTCCCGTACCAAAAATTATTATTTTTTCAAAAACGAATAACATTTTTGAAAAAAATTTACTTCGAAAAAATAGATTTTTGAGAAACTATAAATTTGACAAAAAATTACTTTTTTTAAAAAAAAAATTTTTTATTTGAAAAAAAAAATTTTTTTTTTGAGAAAAAAAAATTTTTTTTTAAAACAATAAAATTTTTTTAAAAAAAATGTTTTCTTCATTTTGACATATTTTGGAAATTCTGAACTTTTTTTCAAAGCAATCGCACTGCTTGAACTGCATAGAGACGAAATGTCAAAGCTCGCAAGTGCCGCGCCGCCGTCTAACGCATAAGCATTGGTACGGAACCCATAGAAATGTAAAAAAAATTTATACTTATTGTTAAAATCTCTATAAAATATCTGATAATTTGATGTGCATATGTCTAATGATCATTTTTAACCGCCGAATGGCATTTTTTTTTACTTTTTTCATTAGATCTCCGAAACCGCTAGACCTGCCTTCATGAAAATTTGATCAAATCTACATCTTGTCAATACAAGTAAAATATTTTTTGAATTTTTCAAATCGGACGCTCCGTTCTCTTAAAAACTGAGTTACCGTTTTGGGCACTTTTTGCCCCGTATCTTCGGAACGGCTAGACCTGCCTTCGCCAAAAACTAATCAGCACGTCTCCTTATCAATACGAATCGAATGTTTTTTGAATTATTCAGATCGGTTGATCGGTGTTCCCGAAATCGTCGACGAAAATTTGTATCCGCACATACATACACACACGTACATACATACACACACACACACACACACACACACATACATCCATTTTTTCTAAGGTATGCCAAAATGTTCAGAAACCTGTGAAACGTAAAGATATATAAAAATTTTCATTTTCGATTTTTTTGCGATTACTATAACTTGCCCTACGGGAAGTTAAAAACAATGTCTAAATATAGTAAAAACCTTAGAATATGTAGCATTTAAATAGAGAATTTCAGATTTTGATCTGAAATTTTCTATTTAAATACTAGATATTATAATGTTTTTACTGTATTAGTTTCATTTGATTCTACTTGTTCAATTGATTTTTTTTCATACTCAAAACTTGCAGACTCAACATAGGCATAAGTACAATTTGGTGATGATTGGAGACGTAAGGGCAGGGGTACAAAATCTGAAATTAAGTAATTTGAAACTAAATATTATATTGCTTATAATGTGTTGATATAATTTGATTATTCTAGTTTAATTTAATTTTTCCCGTACTAAATGCCTTAACATTATTTTGGGGATGATTTGGGGTAAAACGATGATAGTTATTTTTTAAAAATCTGTGATATGCATTTCATTATATATTTAGGCCTTAACATTATTTTTGGAGCAAAACGGTGGTAGTTATTTTTATAAAAATCTGTGATTTTATAATATTACTAGCTGACCCGGCAAACGTTGTTTTGCTAAGTAAGGTATATTCTAAACAATTTCTATGGAATCAAAAATATTAATACTTTAAGTGTATAAGGATATGTTGTTTGAATGCTATAAACCCCATTAGTTTGTCTATATTTTATCAAAACAATCAAACTGGAAGTTTTATATACTTTCTATAAAACACATGGTATAATCCAATCCGAGGCTTTTTTGGTCTTTCGACTTATTACATTATTATTACGTTTCAAGTTTTTCAGATTCTTTTTTGATTCAGGATTTTGTGTATAATTGTAAATAATACTAATGAGCTTATACAAAATTTTCAAATTTCTGCGAGGAGAGATAGGAAATGAATTAAGTATTTCTTCTTTGACCTGCTTTTTGAACAGTTTCAAGTAACATTCGATGAATTGAAGTAAATTTAATAAAAAGTATATATGTAGAGCAGGGCGAGCACAAAAGTTCCAATTTGGCGTTCAGCAAATATAAACTATATTATGAAAAGCAAACCAATTATATCACAACAATAAACACATTCCAAACGAACAATTATCTGACTACGTTCAGTAAAACTGCCAGCTACTTCATCATTGTAGAAATGTGCTTGTTTTCCTATCTTTCAAAAAATTGTTATCTAGAACTTTTTACCCTATAGGCGGAGTAACTTGAAATGGCCAGGTGGCAAACAGGTTTAATGTCTTATTTTAATTTTAAATGTATTTTACAAAATAATTACACTTTTAACTAATGCTAAAGAACTACCAGCGGAAGAAAATACCTTTATTATGGATTTTCAAAGATTACAGTTTATCTCCAGATAGCAAAGTCATAAGAATCGAGGTTATAGCTGGTTATACATCTTTTTCCCTTTATTTTTCAATTCCTTGTTAAACAAAGCTTAACTTTACTTTTTTTGTTTTTGACACATAGCTGGTGGACCTTTTTAACCCCGGACCTTCATATATTACTATCTATTCTTCAATAAATTCTGAGAAACTATAACTGGGAAAATGTTATTCGGCAAAATGTCCCTTTGATCGATAACAAATTAAGGTTTTGAATTTAAATAACATAAATAAATAAATAAAATAAATAAATAAATAAAAAATAATAAAACCTAGAAAATGTTTTATAAATTACCAATGAGTATACAATTTTACAAATGAGATCTTTCACCGCGTTTGAGAAAAATATGATTTGCAAAAAAAAAGTGCTACAATGCATTTTTATATTAACATTTCAAAAGAGCTGATATTTTGAGTTTCTAGTAAGATTTGCGGCCCGTTTACTAACGTTTTTATATATAAATAAAACTACAAACAAAGCTGCTTACTACAATTTAATTATAATTAAATAATATTCACGTAAAATATCCTATTGAACGTAATTGAACATCATCTGTCAAAAACGTTTGACATTTCACGGATTAGCAACCTTCCATTGTTTTATTTAGATTACGCTTCTACAAAAATTTTCAAATTAAAAATAAAAAGTTTCTACGCGGATTTGAAATAATTTTTCACCTTTTGGACTTTCTCTGGATTGGCACGAATTTTTCAAGACTAAGACTGACCAAATCGATTCAGCCGTTTTCGAGTTTTATTCGGACATTTGAAAGAGAGCTCCATTTTTATATATAAGATTATCAAAGATTATTTTGTTCTTTTTTGGACTTCAATACTGGCTTTTTCTCTGCACTCTCTACCTTCTATACAAAACATCTCATATTACCGGCCGTCATGGGGTACTGATTTTAGTAGCCATTTTCGATTTTTTTGTTTTAATTTTGGTGGTACATTTCGTAAAAATTAATCAATTTCCGTTTTAATTTTTTTTTTCTTCTAAAACAAAAAGTGTTTTTTTTTTAAATGGCACGTGGTACATGTTTTGGCTAGCTTAAGAGAGGTAATGCATTTACCAAATACTTATTCTAAACAAATCATTCGTACATACGTACCTAAATATTTTATTTCATGATTAATGCTTGATCTAGTTGTAAGACTAGCTGTAAGTGGAATTGTCTTAAGGCAATTAAGGCATTGTGCCTTAAGGCAAATTGCTGGAACTTCCCGTACCAAAAATCATTATTATTTTAAAAACGATTAACATTTTTGAAAAAATTTTACTTGGGAAAAATAAGATTTTTGAGAAACTATAAATTCAACAAAAATTACTTTTTTTTGAAAAAAAAAAATTAAAAAAAAAAAAAAAATAAACAAAAAAAAAATTAAAAAAAATTTTTTTTTTAAATATTTTTTTTTTGAAAAAAAAAATGTTTTCTTTATTTTGACATATTTTGGAAGATCTGAACTTTTTTTCAAAGCAATCGTACTGCTTTAACTGCATAGAGACAAAATATAAAGCGCGTAAGCGCCGCGTCGCTGTCTAACGGATGAATATTGGTACGGAACCAATTGGAATGCAAACAAAATTTATACTTATTGTTAAAATCTCTATAAAATATCTGATAATTTGATGTGCATATGTCTAATGATCATTTTTAACCGCCGAATGGCATTTTTTTTTACTTTTT